CCTGTTGTTATTTAATATTTTTAGGTTCATTAGGTTTTAATAAATGAAATAGACCTGGGATCTAAAAATTTAGATTATTGTTTTATAAACTTTGAATAATGTTTGGAAAACTTAAAAGGAGTAACGGCCGATTTTATTTTGTTTTGTTTAAATTTAAAAATAAAAATTAAAAAAAAAAAAAAAAAAAAAAAAAAAAAAAAAAAAAGATCATTAGAATACAAAATCATCATTTTCTTGTATATTATACCGTAATGTTAATGAATATTAATAATAAATATCATATGTATCAACTCAGTGATATAGGTTAATAGGGTATTTTGAGTAATAATGGTTTAATGGTAAATAACTTTTAGTCGGAAATTGATAAGTTTTTATATATATTAAAAAAATCTTTCAATGCAATTAACCAACTATTGATTTTTATAGTTGTTTAATAATGTTAGTAAAATGTTTAAGAGTTTAATATTAAAATAATGAATCAATCCAACTAATCAACTTTTTACTTATGTATTTTGAGGTGTAGTTGGTTAATCTCTTTGTTTATAAATTAAAATGTTATAATATAAAAATAGTAACTCATTACAATATAAAAACTTTCTTCATAAGGTTAGTTCATTATCAATATGTTTAAAACTGAAATTTTGCATAATGCATATACTAACCGTCCAATGGTTTCATTTCTTTACATTTAACAATATTTGATGAAATGTTATTGTTCCTTATTTATTATGTTATGAAATTAAAAAGATATTTATGTCATGATAAAAATTATTTTACTAAAAATAAGCTTAAATGATAATAGTTTCACTATGATCTTCATATTTCATTATTGTTTATTTATTAAGATATTTAATTATTCACCATTAATATCATTAATATTGGTTTATTTTATTTATATAAGTGTTAAGACTATGTTATATTATATAGAAACCAAATTATCTTGTTTAAAAATAGTTCTTATTATTATTATTTTTTTAAATTGCTAACTAAAATTTGTTACTTATCAACTCTCATAAACTAATTATTTTTATAACTACTTAGCCCTCATTCTTATTTATTTCTAATATCAAAGTAATAATATTTTATAAGTTTAAAAAAGTTACATATATTTTATAAACATCATCAACTTCTACCATTATAAATATTTTATTTTTGAACTTCATCTGGTTATGTATTTATCATATGGTTGTTTATTTATCATATGGTTCCGACTACTAAAAATATTTTACATCAACCTTTTGATTCAGTATACAAAAATTATTATGTCATAGTTAATAACAATGATTTAAATATATATATATATATATATATATATATATATATATATATATATATATATATATATATATATATATATATATATATATATACTAGCCGTTTACCCGCGCAAAACGGCGGACGACAAATAGTTTGTTTCGACAATTAATTTCTTTTCGATGGAGAATGATTATTTTCAATTCAATCATTAGTTTGTTTTAGGAAACATGTCATATCAAAAATAAAGAAAATTTATAAAATGATCAAATTATAGGGTGTTGAGTATTTATTTGGATGAAAAAAGATTTGGTCAAAACTTTGGAAGAGAAAATTTATAGGAGTTTGTTTAAATTTTATTATTATTTTATTAGTGATTAGTTGTACAATTAGCTTAATGATTTGAACGTCTTAAAAAAATATTATTATTTTATTTAATCCATTTTTAGAAATAGTGGGATTTGTTTAATAAGATAGTAAAGACATATATATATATATATATATATATATATATATATATATATATATATTATATATATATATATATATATATAAAATTATTCTAACTATATAAATATCTTTCCATACAAACATGAGGATTTGTGTAATATTTTTATATATTGGTTAATAAATAATTTTAGACTATGTATGAAAATCAGTGAGATATGTTTTAACTAAAAAGTTGAAAAAGCAGAGTTACACCATCCAAAAGTATAAATCAAGTTGCATTTACAGAGAAAACTCATCACATTCAATAGAATAACCACAATTCCAAAAAAAAAAAAAAAAAAAAAAAAAAAAAAAAAAAAAAAAAAACTTAATAACATAATTAAATCTCTTTTTGGTTGTTCAAATCAGTTAAACCTACAACCATGATTTTATATATGTATGAAAACCTTCCTATATTCACAGAACTAAAATCTTTATTAGAAAAGAATGAACTCAAAGACACAAATGAGGTACTTATATCGTAATGAAAGAATAAAAAACTCAAGATTTTACAATATAAGTTTACAGAGTAGATGGTCATTCGACACTCACCATTGGAAGGTCGCATGATGTTTGCTGTAAAATAATGAGCTTTACACTTCATTCCATGAGAATACCGTGTTATATCTCTTCTCTCACCCGACTTTTGCTATTTATTGCATAGACAAGGAGGGACATAAAGGCCTTACCCCTTAAGATCAAAACAAGTTAGGGAGTCCATGATGACCTCTTGATTAAATAGAACCGGAGGAGGATGAAAAGAAAGAGCTTATGATGACCATATATTTAAGTCGATCATTTTGTAGATCTAATTCAAGTGTTTTCTTTTTGCAATGGAAATGTTGTAAAACAACTTCTTGTGCTTTTATTCCAGCTAACGAAGCTATTAGTACAACTTTGGAGAGTGGATGATCAATTGCTATGAGCCTATGGATTGTTAGTATATTAACGTTTAGGGTGTAGGCCTAAGGCCCTTTGAGTTTAGCTTAGGTCAAGCTCTAACAACCAACAATGCCTCCATATCTAGTTGCCATCGCCGCTGCCATTATCACTGACTCCTATTCTTGATCTCCATGGACCTTATCCTCGTCTATGTTTTCTGTTTAGATCCAATTTTAACGTCCCCAATAAAACTGCATGGATGTTATTACGTTAGCATTTAGAGACCATTAGAATTTAGGTTAGTCGGACCATTTTCCTTTTATACAATGTTTACTCATCTCTATCAAGCAACTTAAAACTTGATGTACAAGGTGTACATGATTTTCCAATAAAGACATTTGTGATGTACTTGTTACAACCTTGAGGGGATTTTAGGAGTTTAGGTTACCTTATTGGCCTTTCTATGAGGCGGATTGAGTTCTCATACTTCCGGACTTTATATTAGAAGTTTATGAACACTAATTAAAGGGGCCTTGGCGAAAAAAAAAATCATTTTTTTCATGACTAGATCCCTTATCTTATTGAAACACTTAAAAGCTACTCACATTCAAGTTTTGACTAATAACTTATCATAGAGGTTATCTTTTAAGACTTATATTCTCATAGTGTTTTTGACATAATTTTGAAAAGGTACATAGTTTTCAAACGTTTCATTAAGTTAAAGAAACTTGATATGGAATATTTAACAAAATACTAGATTGGTAGAATGAGAACCGCTAAACTACCAAAATACTTGCATAGTTGAATGAGAACTTTAATTACCAATATACTAGCCCTGTAGAGTGGGAACATTGTATTGGAACACTTTAAAATTTGAGAAATAACCGGTTGTCGACATAATTTTGAAAAAGTACATAGTTTCCAGTTTATAAACTTATACACAATATGAAGAGAGTAAACGTACATAAGGTTTTTTCAACAAAAGGCATTCTTCTAATAATATAATTGTTATCGTTTATAAGGTTATCCAGTTTCTTTAAGAAAATATACTCCCGTATATTAATTTGTTGAGATTTTTGAAAAGTATACCAAAGAAATAACCTATTTGTGAAGCTAGTAGACCAGATCGATAATATATTTCAGTTACCAAAAAATTCCACACCAACATATTTTCAAGTGATGTGTAGAATTATCCACATGATTATTATTAGAGAAAATTTCATAAAAACCACTGTATTTTGTATTTTGTATTTTTTTTTTCTTTTTCGGTTTTACCATTAAAATGATTTTTTTTTTCCCAATGGGAGTTTATTTTTCATGAAAACCACTACATAAAATATTGAATTCTTTATAAACCACTGCAATTTGGAATTTGTTCGTTGAACCACTCAAAAATTTTATTTTTATGATCTACACAATGAAACTTGGACTTTTTTTTTCCTAAAAAAATCATACTTGATATTGTTCTGATTGGTGTTTGCTAATCAGTACCAAAAAAAAATCAAAAACACTTACAATGATTATTATAGAAAAACAAACTTTTAATGAATATATCGAAAATAAAACAAACCTTCATGCTTAAATCGGAAAAAAAAAAATATCTCATTTTAACAGGAAAAAAAATCAAACTATAATAGTTACTATTTATTTATTTTATTCTGACATCTACAAATATGATTTATTAAATATAAAGTAATACAGGTTACTATTTATAAATAAAATAATAAAAATATGACGAGATGTATTTTGTTATTTTAACACTGGGATAGAAACTTATTTTATTATTTATTAATTTTATTCTGTCATCTACAAAAACATCCTTCTTTCATACTCTCGGGATTTATGTTTTTAAAGCTTCAAGAAAAAGGCGTAAGGGGCTTTGGCAGCTCCTTCGCTACGCTTCCTTCCATAAATCCAACTTTCACATTCTTTGCTTCACAATTCATCTTCCAATCCGAAGGTAATCTTCACTTTTCTTTAATCGAATCCCTTCTTCATCTTCCGGATCGTTTCATATTTGTGTGTTTATGAACCCACCGATCAAAAAAATCTGTTTTTCTAGTAGTTATTAACTTGTTTTCTGAAATCGTTCTATACGGATTGTTAATACACAAGAGAAGTTATGAATCTGTTGTTAAACATGCTTTGAATTGTATGCAAGTAGTGCGTGATCGTGTGACTGAGTTTTTGGTTTCTGAAGTTTTGAGAATTATTTAGCTAGGGTTTTGCATGATACCTTTGTTTTGATTGTGTAATTTCAGGGAGAATTGAGTTATCTGCAGTTGCTACCTTTTTCTTCATGGCTATTATCAGTCGATAGAATCGATTTTGCCAGAGGTTTTGGGGGAGGATTTAGCGATATATTATTAGCTGAAATGCCGTCTACAAGCAGTTCCAGTATGTCGTTTGGGGGATTCCGATCAATTTTAGGATTTGGAAACGATCATAATCAAGTTCATATGGAGGAGGAGAAGAACGATTCTAAATCTCCACTGGATCGTGAACTTGAAAGGTTCCAAGAACAAGTATTCACTCAATTCCATGCACTTTCATCTTCTTCTCCCGATGAATTTCTCTCCATTTTTTGGATATCCAAGCTACTAGACGCATTCATTGTTTGTCAAGAAGATTTCAAGGTCATTCTCTTGAACAATTCTGAAAATTTCTCTAAACCTCCATTAGATAAACTCCTTACAGAGTTCTTCGACAGAAGCATCAAAGCTCTTGACATATGTAACGCTGTTCGTGATGGAATTGAGAAAGTACGCCTTTGGGGTAAACACTTAGCCATTGTTTCCAGTGCTTTTGATTCAAAACAGAGAAACATGATAGGTGAAGGCCAGTTTAGGCGTGCAAGAAAATCATTAACTGATCTAGCCATTGTTATGCTTGATGATCATAAAGAATCTGGATCTGTGTTTTCACATAGAAACAGATCTTTTGGGCGTCCAAACAAAGGTAAAGATCTGAATCAACGTAAGCATGGACACTCAAGGTCTCTCTCATGGAGTGTTCCTAACTCATGGTCAGCAACTAAACAGCTTCAATCAATGTCCAACAGCTTGACTCCATTTCCACCTCGAGGAAATGAAAATGGTGGAAATTCCAGTCTTCAAAACTGTGTTTTCACCATGGGATTTGTTCTCATGTTTGTGTTATGGACTGTAGTTGCTGCAATCCCATGTCAAGATCGTGGTCTTTTCAATTTCTCAATTCCAAGACAATTCTCATGGGGGACTCCATTGTTCTTCCTTCAAGCTCGGATTTTAGATGAATCAAAGAAACGTGAACGTAAGAACAGCCCTGGGCTTTTAACAGAGATTCAACAAATGGAGAAGTCAATCAACTTCATCTCAGATTTAATTGATTCTGTTCATCAGTTTCCATTGACAGAAGAACAACAGAAAGAAGTGAAAGATGGAGTTGAAGAGTTATCTTTGGTTTGTAGCTTGTGTAAGAATGGATTAGATACATTGGATTGTAAATTGAGGGAAGTTTTCAGGAAGATTATGTATTGTAGGACTGAAGCCCTTGGAACGTTCACCACTACATAATCTTCAAGATCAAAATGTTGAAAACAACAAAAAAAAATGAAGGTGATATTTGTAATTTACTAGTAACTTTTTTTTTTTTTTTTTTTTTTTTTTTTTTTTTTTTTTTTAATGTAAGAACTTGCTATCTCTCTTTATTAATGTGATTTGTTGAATATGCATATAGACATAGATATATACAATCTTGCAAAGTTAAGAACTAGTTATTATGCTTGACTCTATAAATTATAAAATACTCTTTTCAATTATTGATAAAAAAAATAGAGTAAATAACATTTTTGATCCCCCAAGTATAGCTTAGTTTTTCAATTTTGTCCCCAAAAAGTTCTCTTGCATTTTTGTATTTTTTTGTAATTATATATATTTAGGACTAAAATTGCAAAAATTAGCTATCTTAGGGACCCAAAATAGTCATCCTATTTAGAACAAGGACTAAAAGCGTTACAAGAACTTCCAATAAGGACCAAAATTGCAAATGAAATTTTTTTGTGACCAAAATTGCAAAAATCAGCTACAATATCTTAGGAGAATCGTGTTTGATGAAAACCAATTTCATCAACAATCTATTAATTTAACATATGATAATATAAAAATAAAGAAAATGTCGGGGGTAGATATTGACATATTATAATTTAAGAAAGTCAATTATTTGAAATGGGAACAAGTTGAGATATGAATTATGATTTATTGATTTATGACATGAATGACATGTATATGTTAATAGGTATATAGACAATGATATATTTTGATGGTCCCCCTCTCCTATAAATAGCTTCCATTGCTGGAAATATGGTGGTTTTAGTGGACAATGGACATGCAACAGGCTGTATATAGTTTGGAGGTCAACAATGTTTGGCAATTGGTATCCATCAATTTCATCTTATTAATATTAACTTGTGTTTGTTATATGGGATTGAACTGAACTGAAAAGGATAAGACATTTGATTTATTAAGTCGATTCGAATTATTAAGTGCTTTTTGTTTGTTAAATGGACATACTAAACTAAATGAGACTGAATAGAATAACAAGGCAATATTGTCTTCCGCACAAACAAAATGTATTGAGTTATTGTCCCATATTTTTTGTGATAGAAAAAAGTTAATTTTTGTACCATTCACATTGGAATAATTTTTTTTTTTTTTTTGAATATTTACAATGACTGATAAAAGAATAATCATGTCTTTTGCACAATCAAAAGATAAAGAGTTATAGTCTCATATATTTTTTTGATAAAAAGAAAGTTACTTTTTTGTTCCATTTACATTGGTATTAATTTTTATTAGGTGAAACTATTTTACTTTTTACTATGTAGATGGATTTGGGAAAAATGGTCTCTGGAGTAAACCTTTATTTCACAAGTGGTCTATGTAGTATACTAGTATACATTTCACAACCTTTTAGTCCTGGTATTAAAGTGAGTTTTTGATTTATTCCTTTTTTTTCTTATTTTATTAATCTTTTAATTGATTTATAATTCCCTAATCTTTTGTAAAGCATGCTTTGTAGGTTTAGATCTCAAAAGCTCACGTGGATTTTGTTTGTGACGTACTTTTTACTTTTTGGTTTGGGGAAAATTTCTATCGGAAGAAACATATTTTTAAATCAAATTTTATTTTAAGAACGTATTTTTATAATCAATGTTTATGGGTCTAAGTGGTGGTTTTTATTTTTAATACAAAACTATAAAAAGTATGTATATTTTTCCGGTTTTGGTTTAAATTCTGATTTTATTAATTTTAATATTTTTTTTTTTTGGATTGATGGTTATTTTGAAACAGTTTGATCCTATGAATACCAAGATGACTCTAATATTCTTGAGTTATTTATTTTTCTATTATATATATATATATATATATATATATATATATATATATATATATATATATATATATATATATATAGCTAGATTATAATGTGGATGAACAATTATTGTATGGACGTGTGGATAATATTATTTTATGAGAAATACTAAGAGAATATGTTTTTTTAGTAATGTGAATACGTTTAATCTCATAGAACTATTGTCATTTTAATGGATTTTCACTAATTCTAATTTATTTTTGTTCTCTTGCATCGTTTTTCACTTATTTTCATTATTACAGAATACGACTCAATAAACATCCTGATAACATTCTGTCAGAATGAGAATAATTATATATATATATATATATATATATATATATATATATATATATATATATATATATATATATATATATATATAATAACTTTATAGAAGAGTTAATTAGTGAAAATGCATAATAATTACAATAATTATATAAGATTGAACGTATTCATATGTAACATCCCAAAATTCAAGCCCGAAAATTTCATTTTTAAATTAACAATTCCATAAACATTGTTACCAAAATATTTTCAAATAAACAACACGTCACAAAATCATATTCTTGTGTCCCAAACCATAACGTCAAAAGTAATAAAAATCAGAGCACAGTCCCAAAAACTCCTTGCGGAAAACCATGTGTGTGTGTGATGCACTGCTACACTGCCGGCTCCTTCCCCTTCGACGAAGAGGTACCTGAAATCAAAACCAAAATTGTAAGCACAAAGCTTAGCGAGTTCCCCCATCATACCACATATCATACAATATCATCATATCTTTCAACCGGTAACCTTCATCAGTATCTTTCAACCGGTAACCTTCATCGGTATCTTTCAACCGGTAATCAACATCGGTATCTTTCAACCGATATTCGTCATCGGTATCTTTCAACTGACAACTGGGGACTATTTCACCCCTACCACTAGCATACAATCAACATATATAAACATACAGTTAGGAATATCCGGGTACTGACCTACCCTTGGGTCATACGGACCATTGTTAGGGAAACTAATCCCTACTATACACATAACATATCATCTAGATAAATCTCATAACCAACACATAACTAGACCTAGATAATTATCACAAAGACCATTATATTATAAATACCCCTTTTTGGTGGGCCGACATTGTGGCCTTAGACCCACCCTACTGGAAGGTAACTCACCTCAATGTCGTGTAGTATTTGAAGTATCCTCGACGCACAAGTCGACTCCCTTCGATTCCTCAATCCCTACACGACAACCTTCAAGTCAACACACAACAAGTACAACCCTAAACAGGGTCAATCCAAGTCTAGTCAAAGTCAACTTCAAGTTGACTCGACTCGCCGAGTTGGGCCGTCAACCCGCCAAGTCCCTCACCCTTTACTCGTCCTCATCCATGACCCGACTCGTCGAGTTGGGCCGTCAACTCGATGAGTTCCTCTTTCATATGAACATCGCATGAAACTCATCCGACTCACCGAGTTGATGAAAACTCGTCGAGTTCACCTCCATCTGATGAACAATTTCTGTCCTTGACTCGCCGAGTTGATAAACAACTCGTCGAGTTCATCTTCATTCTTAAGAAGATTGCCTTAGACTCGCCGAGTCTGTTCTAGCACTCGTCGAGTCCCATGAACTTCATGTCTAAAATCACATCCAATGGATTGTGTAACTCTTTCTGTCCGGATACAACCCTTCTAACACTCAACTGGGTTCCTTTGACCCTCAACATATATGGGGCTTAAAGCCTTGGAATTGTCGATTCCAAGAACGGACTCGCCGAGTCGGTCATGTCTACACTCTAAATTCTCGATTTCTGATGTACAACCTTTGATCAAAAGATAGATCCAAGCTTCTATAATAAATTTAGCACGTAAAGTTACAAACTTTACATGCTTGCATGAGACATTGAGCTCAAAAAGACATAAAACAAGCTCTTAAGGTGCATGGGACCTTTCATGGGTGCAAAAGCAACCCAAATATGCCTAGTGACTCCTTTAATGATGTGATTCAGAAGCTTTAATCCCTAACCATGTTTGCAAACATGGTTGGCCACCAAAAATGGCTAATAAAAGCCCTAAATCTCCCCAAATAGGGATCTAACAAATGAATGAGCAAGGTTAGAGCTTTTTACCTTCAATGAGCTATAAAAGATGCACAAACTCGGGCCTCCTTGGTCTCTAATTGCTTCCTCAAGATTTTCTCCTTCCTTCTTAAGACTACAAGCACCAAAATCCACCAACAAGGCTTAGATTGCTTCAATAACGGCTAGGGTTTCAATAAGAGGTGTTTTGGGAGCATAAGGGACGTTTTGGTCAACATAACATTGTTTAAATAGGGTACAAACCCTTGGATTAGGGTTTTTGTCCAGATAGCATCTACTTGTCGAGTTTGGGACCCGACTCGTCGAGTCCACGGCTTAAATCCCGCGTCCCATCCCACTTCTACTCGACGAGTTGGTCCTTCAACTCGCCGAGTCCAAGGCCAAAAATGCAAAATACATAGATAAAAATAAAAGAAATGCGTACCAAGAACCAGGTGCTACAAATCTACCCCCCTTATTTTAGACTTCGTACTCGAAGTCTGTTGCTCGTTCCTGAAACAAATCTGTGTAGTGCTCCATCATCTCGTCCACCGGCTCCCAATTCCATTCCGAGCCCTTCCGGTGCTACCATTGCACCTTCACGAGTTCCACTCTCTTGTTCCTCATATCCTTCGACTTCCGATTGAGGATCGCCACAGGTCGCTCAATGTAGTTCAGGCTGCCATCAACCTGAAAGTCCTCCAAGGGCACCACTGCCGAGTCGTCCACCAGGTACTTTCACAACTGGGAAACATGGAAAGTGTTGTGGATCTGACTAAGTTCGGCTGATAGATCCAGCCTATACGCCACCTTGCCCACCCAGGCTATAACCCTAAACGGTCCAATGTACCTGGGTCCCAACTTGCCCCGTTTCCTGAATCGAATAACGCCCTTCCATGGCGACACCTTCAGGAGAACCGCATCCCCGACCTGGAATTCCAGGTCTGATCGGCGCTTATCGACATAACTTTTCTGCCAACTCTAAGCAGTCTGAAGCCTGCTCCGGACCTACTGAATCCTCTCTATCATCTTGAGCACTACTTCGGTGCTCCTCATTACCCTCTGGCCAATCTCGCCCCAACATAT